CAAGACACGCCAAGCGGCAACGCACGCCGCCGTGTGTAGGGGCCGTCACTCACACGTTGGCTGTGAGCTGCGGGCCGGGTGCCAGATAAGTCAACATCCCCCATTTTCATCACTTACAGTGCCCATCTTATAGGGCAAATGAAAAGTGTAACCGGGATGAAAAGGGTGTTACATTTACTTAATTATGAATGTTGTTACATCAAGGCCGAAAATTAGGATGAGCACCAACGGTCAAAACATTTTTTTTTCCCTCCCAGAGCTGTCAGCGCAGCGCCTAGAACAGATCTGGCGCCCTAGGCGAACATCTATAACGCCAGTCCGACGGGCCGGCCCTGGTCCCAGGTTACGCTGTAGGAAATGTAGGTACAAAGCTATATTTCCCGCCCCGCCGCAGTCATACAGTAGGCTACGGAGAGCGGCGAGAAACATTTCCTCAGGCATCGAAAAGCGGAACCGAAATTCACATTTCTAAATGATGCCGTTGTCGAAATGTTGGAACCGGTTCCGAACCCTATTTATCAGGTTCAAAGCCCACATAAAAACACATCAGTGGTGTGAGGAAAACACTGAGTGATACTGCTCAGAGCACATTACACGATGACAACAAGTAAACACAAAAACACTCATCAAACAGGCTACAGTCCCTAACTGTAATCTAGTCTGGCTTTTTAGATGGCATGACTTTCGCATTTTCAAATAACTAAAGGACCCACCTTACTCCTAGAAATGCAATGTAATGCTATATGTACGAGTATAATGTGAAATATCACCTCGTGAATGAATATATACAACACTTCATAAGTCAAACTCATAGAGAACCAATAGACAATAAATACAATAAATGCACACACGAGCTAAAACTAACATGAAGTTGTGAGGAAATGAGAATTAAACAATAGGTTCATCTCAATGTCCCTCCTCGACTCCTCTCTCCTCGACCCGGAAATCGATTAAGACACGCCATGTTGAAGGACGTCCCAATCGCTTAAATGCACATGGAGGAGTCGAGGAGGGGTGAGGGACGAAAGGGAGGATACACGAGAGCAGACTACGCGGAAGTGTTTTCACTCCTCGCGCATCAGAGCTCCGCCCCCAGCTGCACAGCCTCTGCAGCTGTTCTTACCGTTAAAGGAGGATCAGAGTCATTAAATGTTTAAAGTGCTTCATGAAGAGTAAAATATATAAATCTCTTAAACGAATCATGAGATCATACTCTATAAAATATACTTTCAAATTCAATAATAATGTTTTGATTATAAAATAATAGCTTACAGTTCTTACTTGTGGTTTTTGATGCATGTGTGGTAGACCCACAGAACGTCAAACATTTAGGATACATACAAATACGGGTAGCTAACTGATACATATTTTAGTGATTTGTGTCTCTCTTCTGTCGGACAAATTAAATAACAACATCCAATACAGAAGTTGATCTGAAACAAGCTCAAATACCATAATAACCATCAATTATTACTATTGTTATGATTATAATTATAACTGAAATGAAATGTTATACCTGGAAAAACAAACACAGGACCGAAAATAATATATAGAAAACTATGATAAAAGAGATGAATGGAAGAGATGGACGAAATCATTTCAATGAGAAAACTGAATTCCAGGTTAGAAGGGATTTATGTGGAGGGAAGTCCAGTGACAGGTGATAGACTGTTCACAGCAGAAGTAAAGGGCGTGGTTTATGGAGACGCTGGAGTGAACGAGGACATCCCAACTAATACCGGAGGACTCCTCTGTCCTCGCGTCTCTTCCTCGTGTCTCTCACTCGTGTCTTACGGAGGCGGAGCAAAGACGCAAGGAAGGGACGCGAGTGAGGGAAAGGAGGAGGATAAATAATCAATTGAGATGAGGTCAGAGATGAACAGCACTGACCACAGATCTTCAGCGGAGCCTCGAGCTCCAGCAGGATGGGCTGACTGAGGAAGATCTCCCTGGATTTGATGCAGAGGCCTCGCACCTCTGACTCGCTCATCTGGACTATCTTTCCTGGGCGACATCCTCGTACTGGAAAAAAAAGAAGACACGTCAGTAACTGTTAGCATCATTGTCAGTGTTAATACGACAGCATCAGCAACCCCCAACTTCATCAGAATGCAGGACATGGTACAATAAATGTTCACCTAAGGTTAAAAAAAGAACACTGTCAGGAGAATCATCACATAATAATTCTAAAATCTGAGGAGATGTGTACGTAATGGTTTTGTAGCTTATAACTGCTAAGTATCATCCACTGCATATACTATGAGTGCAGCTTGCATCTTCAGCACGGTGTGGGTTGATTGGCTGTGTAGTTGTACCGTTAGCTTAAGCCTACTTTCTGGCGTTATGCCACAGCTCTTGGAACAGATTTATCTTAGAATGATAAAAAGAAAAGTGAGAAATGCAAACGTTGGATACAGTCAGCAGGCAAAAGAAATCACAGATATGAAGAGTGAGATTTCACATGAAAACTGCCTGCCTTGCTATAGAGAGCCTTGTGGCGTGCATAATTTCGATCTAGTTTCTAACTCTGCACTTTATGTGTCTAATATTTGGACAGCGTGTTTAGTGCAATGTTTCTCAAAGGTGTCATGCATTTAAAAAGCACACTATCAGTTACATCCTGTTACAATTAGGCAAACGTTGCTGTCAGGCTTTTAACGCATATTAAGTGGAGTGTCAGAAGTGTCTACATCACACTAGTTACCTTTTTTTAGGATTATTCATTGGTTTAATAAAGTGGTCATTACCCTAACAATAGTTGGGGCATAACAGAGATTAACAGTGCTTTGACACTGAATTCAATTATGCATGTAGCCCATAGTAAATGGTAATAATAGAATATAGCAATCTTTGATTAAATCTCAGTTTGAATCCACAAAAAGCAAACCAAAGCACTGTGTAAAAGATGAACCACTGACTGTGGAAACCCTGACTGAGCGACTATGTAATAACTAACTATTTTGGAATTGCGTTAAAGCTTGACGCCCACTAAAGATCCCAATAAAGGATAGCTGAGCCCAGTGAAACAAACGCATGTTAGTAAGAGAGACGTTACTTTTAAATTGTTTGTACTTAATCCTTATAGAATAACAAATTATAGAATGACTAAAAAGAAAACAGTTCAAAATGGTTTAGCTGATGTATTAGTGTGCCAGTCCTAAAGCTTAGTGCATGCATTTTTGTATGCACAAGTGAGGACACTCACATGCTGCTTACACACTGCACTCACTATCAGCAGCCCATTAGTCATGTAATCCAACAAAATCTGAGAGAGGTGAGTGAACCAGAGAAACATGGATCCTCACAGATGGTCAAACCGAGAGCCAAGAACTATTCTAGGGCTCCACCAACCTTAACCAAGTGTTGCTACACCATCAATTTCACAATATTACATTTCTTTATCACCCATCTAATGTATCTGTTTCATACACGTGTGCCGCATTGGGTGAAGCATGAAATTGCAGAAGTAGGGCTGTTCACTCAGCGGCCGGGCGAGATAAACTTGGATGCCCTGCTTTAACACTGAACTTTCACTGTTCCCACTTCTGCAGCCTGGCACTTTTGAAAGAGATTAGTTCTTAAGAACATTGAGGGCGAAGGGTAAAATGAAGCAAGGACAAGGACTTGCAACCAATAAATACCAAAGCTCTGTTTGTGTGTGTGACGACAAGTTTTAAAGGTCCCATGTAATGCTTTTCCGGTTATTACCCGTCCCCTTGTGTGTTATGTGGTTTTTTCTGCATGTAAACGGTCTGCAAAGTCACAAACCCTTAAAGTACACCCTGTAGCGAGTAAAACTCTAACACAGAAAAGACCTGTCTATGCTGCCCCAGAACGCCTCGTTGGAGATTTTTCTTTTTACATTTTTTTCTTCCTGAGTATGGTGACGTAACAATGCCCAGTTCCAAATGGACCAATCCGTGGAGCTCCTCACACACACACGGCTCCGCAGATTTATCAGCCTGAACTCACAAACAAACTCACAGCCAGGCTGTGAGAGTGTGTTTTCAGGAAACGACCTCAGTAATCCAGCTCACACTGTCCGCAGCAGCGATCCCCGCAATCTCTCGCCAACACGGCACCCAGACCCCACGCAGCATTCTCATCTGTTTGTCATTACTGGTGTCATTTTCTGGTTGCTAACGCCATTGTAACACATAATCACTGATGTTCCGCTGTAACGGTGGTGGACTCATCAGAACAGAGTGGGCGAGCTGACCAATCAGAGCACAGTGGGCTCATAGGGAGCGGGGGGCATGAGCTCCAACAAGCCGTTTAGGAAAGAGAGTGAATACACATACTATACAGAGATGCTGTATGAGAAACCAATGTGAGTTTGGAAAAATGAACAATGTAAATCTATTCTAGTAGAACTCAACAATGGAATTATGATCAGTAGAAATGGCCATGTCATCGGACCTTTAATTCCCATGAATAAGCACTCTCACTAACACTTGGCCTTTCCTCAAGACCAACATTTCTCAGACAGCAAAATGTACAATAAGCTATGTGTTGGTTGGGATAACAAACAAGGGCTCAAGACTCACATACAAATGATCTGGTTTAAAGACTTAGGACAAGGGATTTTTCACTCTCTTGTTGTGTTTACAATGCGCTGAATATCAGAAGAAAAATGAACAACAACGACCAAAACAGGTTGTTACATCTTCCACTATAGGGCTTTATAAACAAAAATACAGTCAGAGTTTCGAAGGTAATCATGTGCAACTGATAGAAAATGTCCTTAATCAATACAGACATACAAAACATATATCATATACTGACAAATAAAAATCTGGATTTAGAAAAGTACTAACAATTCCAAAACCTGGCTTTGAAATGTTAAATAATTATCAGGTTTAATGTTTTGGGCTTAAACCACTAAACCCTTTAGAATTGTTATTTCTTCAGTCACTGATCCAAACTAATCCACCAAACAAAAAACCCATCACAGTAACTAACTAGCAAAAAGACTTCCAAATGGAACTACTACAACTTGACCCGAAACAATCAAAAAAGTATATTTTATATTGGACATTTAACACAATCATAAATTATTTGCACATGTGCTTTATCCAAATCATGGTGTAAACTAACCCCAACAACTACTAAGCTGAACAATTATGTAAGGAGCCTATAAAACGATTATCATCCAAAGAATTAGTCATCATTGTTTGAAAAGAGGGCGTGAAAATAGAAAAACAACAACATAATATCGTGCTCAACAAGATCACAGAAAAACTGACCATCTATGAAAGGTGCCAATTCCAACTTGTATTCAAAATATGAGCAACAATCAACAAGTCACTGTGGTTCAATCTGAGAAACAAGGAAAACTCAGTGTGAAGGGATCAACAAGGTTTCCAGTAGAGAATAAATAGTGTGTTGAGAGGAGTAAACTAAATGATTGCAGGCTGTGACGTAATGGTACTTATTTTTAAATGATTCCACCATTTAAAAGCAATGTTAACATGAAATTGAGACTGCAAGAAACACAAGGCAGCTGCAGTGTGACGGCATTTTCCAGCAGTTACTATAAATATTAAATCTTTGCATTTCAGTGCTGGCATGCTGCTGTCTCATCCTTCCAACGAAGTCACAGATACTGGTGGAAAGTATGCCAAGGACGGCTGATTTTGCCTTAGTGGTCTGGTCGACTCAAAGCACATATCACAGGGGATCAGAAAACTCCCTGAGCAGGAGGACGGCCAACACAAAAATGATGTTTGTACATCCGTCTCATTGCCAAAACCTAGTCCCTACATACCAAAAAAAATCCCTTTTGTCCTATTTATCAAGTACCAAAGCAATAATGAGATTGTGAACAAAGCAAAACAAAATGGCATACTTTAAACTGGAGATAAGAAACTAAATGTGTTGACAGGTCAAGGATACACCCAGTTTTTATACAGTCTATCTTACTTGTTTAATGTTTTGAGATTGTGGTTTATTATTCACCTGTACCAATACTAATGAATTCCAGAAATATGCCCTTCAAACACAGCTACAAACCTACAGACCTAAAAGTTGCTTAACAAAAAGCAAACTACGTCACAATTCAAATTAGTCTAAGATATAGTGATAAGGGCATCCAAACAAAAATATTTACCCATGTTACTGTCTATATTTTAAAAGTAGCTCCTTTTCTATAGATTTAACAACTCTTCCAAGATGGTAATTTTCCTTAATGTAACGTGAACAGAAATTAAACAGTAAAGTATAACAAACAATTACAGCACCGCGGATATTGAACAATTTATGGACAGGGATGCTGGTAAAAATCGATGTTTAACACATTATTTTGTTTAAAATATATTAACTTATTTAACATTAAAAGTGCGTAACAGTTCCGACCGTCACTGCCATGACAACATGTTCATGCGTTGCATTTTAATGTTAAAACCATAGACTGTATGTTAAAACGGACAGGAGTCCGGACAGTTCCAGCCCTTCATCATTTGGAGATTAAATAAGCCCGAACACACCAACAACTTTTAATACATGCTTAAGTGAAGACTACGACACAGCAGTATTACTTCTTTAGAGTAATGTTACCATAACTGCAAAAACTGAGAAATGTAGGCGTTCACCGCTGTGTTTATAAACACGGCCAGCTAACAGCTAACCGGAGATACACCGTTACAATTGGCAGGCGTTAGCCCCACATGCTAACACTTTCACTCCGTGTGCAGAGGCAACCGCGGTAGTTACAGAAAACATATCGGACCAAGCTTAGAGAACACAAACAGCTAACTCTGTGAAACATTAGAGACATTATTCAAAGTGTTCACCTTCCAGGAGCCGAGAGATGAGGCTGTCCACGTTCAATTCGCCCTCCGCCATCTTCACACTGATGTGGTAGTGTTAGCCGGTTCGATCCCCGCTACATACACCAGGAGGCGCTGTTGTCAATAAAACAGTAACCGTGCATGATCATGACGGATACATTTACTGAAAAATATACTTAAAACATCAAAAGTAAAAGCATATAATCCTGTTTGTTATATGTGTACATTATGGGGTTTGAATCCTTCTTACTGATGCAAAAAATAGTAAAAAATATTTTTTATGTTGTAGCCGGTTCAGGTTGAGCTAATATGAACTATTTTATTGTTGGGTATAGCAATACACCATAATTATTTAACAAAGCAATGTATATATTCGCAATGAAAGTGATGACTTCAGCTCTCAAATAAGAGAAGTGAAAAAATGCCTTATTCTTGCAAAACAATCAACCCTCTTTTTTCTTTTTTCAATGGGTTATTTGACCTTTGGTTATTATGACGACCATTACATGCAGGTTGATCTGTGATTCGAGCCAAGCAGAATCATTTCTGGATGGGTGGTTTATGTAACTTATGATATGTTCAGTATTTCCTCTGTATCTAATCATTTAAAAAAATCATTTAGGTGTTATGGTGGGGATTTGCCAGACAGGCAACAATATGCCTGGACTTGTGCGACTGTGCAGATGTCATGCAAACAATCACGCTAGATTACAGTTTATATGAATGATTACAAATAATTTATTCAGATATATCAACAAACATTTACAATTATTACAAGCGAAGACATTGAAATAAAAAAGAGGACATAACACATTTCATTGTATTTCCAAGTTAGTTATCAAGCACATAATTGCCACATGTTGAATTCGTATTTACATCTGCTAAGATTGTGCTGCACAACTTTTATTTTAACATTCTGGTACATAATAATACATTTCCATTTTAAGTCAGGTCAAGTACATTTTTATAGAGCCCAACATTACAAATTGCACATTTACCTGAAGGGGCTTAACACTCTGTACAGCAAACAATACCATCGACCTCTCAACCCTTTTAATACAATTAAATATATAACAGCAGTAATAAGTTAATGTGTAGCCAGTAATTTCACACTTTACTTTTGCATATGAAATCTATTTATTTAAATTAGTAGTAGTCGGTGGCTGCATTGTCTCATTAAGTCCATGCCTTGCACTTTAGTGGTGTTTGAATGCAGGACTTTTAATGAAGCATAATTCTGTCCAGACTGGTCTGCCTATACCACCTTTGCATCCACTAAGATTGTCTGTGGTTACAGGACAATATTTAACTTTTCTATTTAAAGCAGACATGGTTAACGGAAAAGTTGTTTGGTAGTTCCTTGACTCCTTGAATAGTCCAGTGCAAAGAAAAAAGTAGCATTTAAAACACAGTGCCTTTCATCTCCACAGCTGTCATCTTCTTCTTGCTTCTCTTGTCTCTGCAGCAGAGCAGGAGCCAGGTGACAGCCCAGCCAATCAGAAGACCTGTAACAGCCAGCACAGCAGCAAGCCACACTGGCACGGTGTTTGTGCATTCAAACGGGGGTTGCAGGGCTGTGCTGTGAGCAGTGGGTGATGTGGTGGTGGTGGTGGTGGCTGGACTGGGCAAGCTGTTCACCTTTGTGAAGATGTAAGGATGCTCCTGGAACAGGAAAGGTCCTTTATTCACACCAATCACATCCACATTTATGAGCAATTCTTGCTTGTATGCACAAATTACACAGATATTTCAGAAGTGGGACATCAGTAGCACAATGAGACATGCTTTTATTCTTACCTCAGTCGGGCACTTGATGTTATTTCTTGCATTTGTGAAATTGTTGTATGTCTGCTTTCTACCCACTGGCTCCAACTAGAGATACAACAGAGAACATATTTTCTCAGCACATGACTAACTTGAGATGTGGTCTTTTACACTTATTCACAACACTTCCACTGTCAAACAGTCAGCCATTAACTGTCCGCCTGCTGGACTCACCATGTTATTCCACAGAGATGAAGCCATTTCAGCATGTCCCCTCTCGCTGAAGTGGAAACAGTCCACAGAGAAGTAAGTGGTGTCAGGTCTGCCTTCCTGGAGAAGAAATAATACGATAAGTGTCAGTGGGAATGATGTGCTTTGAGGGGCAGGGCTTATTACAGTTATAAAGATCATGTATTTGTAAATGTAGAGTGCAGTAGGGGGTTCAGGGGTACATGGAAGAACTTACAGCATTCATAGGAATAATAGTGTTCTTAAAAAAGGGCTGCACAACCACAGCAAAGTCTTCTCTATCATCATAGCCCCCACCATACGCAACATTTTCTGTCTCAAACTGAAAGAAAGAACACACAAGTTAAAAGACTTCTGTACAAACAAATAAAGTCAATTTAGTCTAACTACTTAACATGAGTGGTCCCGTTCATCACATGTTATATATTGGACCATGATTGGCTTACAAACTAGTTGTGATGTTTGTTGTGAAGTTTTTCTCTCCGTCAGCAGATACATGTGAAACTATCCTGTTTGTGTAAAAACTCTTTCTGAGTGGAGGTGAGACTCTAACTAAATGCTGCTGGTCAAAGATTTTGACCTCAGTGTTCCCGCTGGCTAACCTGTAGATCCCGATTGAAACGTTTTAATTCAGCCAGCTCTGGGGAATCCTCTGTTGTTTGCAAGAAGCACGGGCAGACCAACCTGAGGATCAAGGGAGAAAATTAAACAGCGAATTTATAAAAGTTGTGTTACATTTTATATATTAATTGATTTGGTATGCTACATTATCATTGATTCAGAGATGAGGTATCCTTTGAAAAAACACATTTTTGCTGGATTGACTATACAGAAGTGGCTTTGATTCGAACGAGCAATCTGCCGTGGACTGAGTGCTCTTAATTCATGTGGAATTGATTGGGCATGAGTGGATCGATGAGCTTACGGTTGTAACACACTGCACCCAAGAGTATCCTTTTTGATCTTGCGAAGGCCTTCCATTTCTAGGATCTCCACGACGTTGACAATTATCTTGGGAACCTGGAAGGGAAAGAAAATATGAGCTTTATGCAGTTTCAAAGTGCAAAATTCATTCTTTTATCAATGCTGTCTTGAGGGAAGAGAAGAAAATGTAAATCTGGGATGGAAAGCTGGATAATTCTTACAATATTCTGGACGGTTATGGTATTCTATGCATAATAAACAGTTTTTTTTTGGTAGATAAGATAATTACTTTACCTCTTGGTAAAGCATATCCAAGTTTCTCTTCATATGAAGGCTGTAGTTCTGAAGTGACATAGTGGCCTGTAGTTTTGAGACAAAAGGAATAATGAAATTACACAAATCGCACACGGTTTTCTAGTAATCCATAGTGAACACTTGTAGTTTAATGCCGACTTTTTCATGAACAAATCTTCTGTTTTGCTACCATAGACAAATAGAATAATGAGGGCAAAAAACAGGGGAAACTGGCCAAAAATGTAGCTAAAAAAGTGCATATAAACCAAAAAGAGCTGACGCCATGCAACATGTATAAGTGTACAAACAACAACGAACCCTAAGCTGTCACTACCACAGTCTCAGAGCTCATCTTAAATTGATGCTGTCTTTTGATATTCTGCTTCAAAGCACAAACATTAAAAGAGAGTACCGTTACAGTGGAGCGCAACGGGAGTAATGGAGAGAGAGAAAAAAAGGGAAAATGGAGGCAAAATGATAAAGAGGAAAGAGAGAGGAGAAGAAGGAGGAGGGAGGGAGACAGGATGAACAGAGTCTGGGTGACCTCTGTGTTGTTTATGCCTCTTGCAGAACAAGGCCTGTCACTGTGCCTCGTGTGCTTGTTTAACGCAGACATAGGCCGAGATGGAGCAGGGAGGGAGGGTGTTTCGTGTGACAGAATGTGCTCATTGAAAAGAAACCATGTCTGCTCTCATCTTACTCTGACACAATAAAACAATTAGGGGAGGGCTGCTCACAAAGCTTGATTATTCTGCTCCAGTGCATGGTCCCATTTGGACAGTGATATCATGAGACGGCTCTACACAGGGCATCACACGACACTACGGGCTGTTTGACCACTGTGCTGAGGCAGGAGATACTTTTAACTGAGGGGAGTGCTTTGAAAATATCATTTCCGATGACGACTTCTCAGAGCAACTCACCCGGTCATTGCAGTACTGACACAGGTCATTGCCTCCGATGAAGAGGGTCACCAGCTTCCAGTCATTCTCAAAATCCACCGTCTATTTTTGTCCGAATGAGGGTTAGAAAGAAATAGAGATGGAGCAAAGATAATGTTTTGTCTTGCACAATATAAGTTTTGGTTACAAAACAGTGCATGCATTTGCATTGTGCGTAATGTAGGTTAAACTCACTGTGTCATTCTTCATGGTGTCAATCAGCTTCCTGATTTGCCCTGGGATTCCCCTGCATGACATTATTCATGAGTGCACAAATACTTATAACATAACACATGAAAGGGAGGCATTCAAACCTGATAACAGATCAAAGAAATGTATAACTCACGCTATTTTGGCCCCTGATACGGCCATGTTGAAGGCAGTCTGCCTTTTCCCTACTCCCTTTGAAAATCCTTTGATTTTAGGATTGAACTTCTTAAGTATATCTGATGTAAGAATAGAAGGAATTAAAGCAAAAGAGAAAATGTTTTGTTACAGTCCGAATCTGCCATCTAGTGGAGTTAATATGAATTATTTGACAACACAGAACAGATAAGGCTTGGGACTTACTGGGTAATGTTGTGACAGTCTCAAGTGTTTTGTCTCCTCCAATGCTTTAAAACAAAAAACATCAGATATATTAAAATGCAAATCACAATGCAGTGTATGTACAGATGTGTGTTTATAGTTTGTTTGCAGTCGTTCACCTCCATGACACCCCAGTGTACTCAGTTCTTAGCTGGAGAATATTCTTTGCCTTTGCACCAAAAGCGGTCTACAAAAAAATATTTGTTAGATATATTTCTGACACATTCAATAAATATAACTTTATGGACTTCCAGAAACAGAAACTAAATATGACAACCTGGATTTGCAGAAATGATGCACCAATCAATAAATGACTAAAATAACATAGGATAAAAACATTAAGTTGAT